ATGGATGAAAATAAACGTTAAAACCAAAACAGCACATTGATGGGGGCACTTGCAGCCAGGAGAGAACGCGTGTAAAAAAATATATATATATATAATGTTGCTGCTAGTCAAACAGTTATTAGTGATGTGGTCATTTGGCTGGCCAAATACAGTCTTCCAAAATTCCATACTATATATATTTATACATTGATTGCCATTTGCTTTATAGTGTATAGGTTAACTTTCCAAAGCATTCCTATGTAAAATGGTCTCCATAACAATTCATTACAGTTAAGTAGGAACTGTAAGACAGTAAACTGTGGTCCTCTGTAGCTCAGCTGGTAGAGCACGGCGCTTGTAATGCCAAGGTAGTGGGTTCGATCCCCGGGACCACCCATACACAAAAATGTATGCACACATGACTGTAAGTCGCTTTGGATAAAAGCGTCTGCTAAATGGCATATTATTATTAAACTACATCAAAGTAGTGTGTTCTAAACTATACTGAGGGGAACACTTGGAATTGTTTTGACCTCAATACTGCACCAGGGAGAACAGGGTATTTGGCTTCAGCTTTTCAACCCTGTTGAGCTCTTTGAGCTCAATGACCACCATGCAGCCCATTACCTCTGCATTCTGCTTCTTCATGAGCTCACAGGCAGCATACAGGGTTCCACCAGTGGCTAGTAGATCATTGATGAGAAGCACTTTCTGTCCTGGAGCCACTGCATCCTCCTGGATCTCAACCTAGGCCTTTCCATACTCCAGTGTGTATGCCACAGAAACTGTAGGCCCTGGGAGCTTTCCCTTCTTCCGGATCAGCACAAATCCCACTCCTAACCTCTGGGCTAGAAGGGGTCCGAAGAGAAACCCCCAGGCATCCAGACCAACAATCAGTGCTACTTGGGGATGCGTCTGCCTCACATGTTCCTCAAAAAGATTGATGACTGCGGTCAGTGCACCCGGGTCTTTGAGAATTGGACAGATGTCTCTGAAAAGTATTCATTTGCTTGGGAAATCAGGAAAATGTTTTATGTGTTTGGTGACCAATCCTAATTTTGCTTCTCTGTGTGCACTGCCATGGCTAACTGTCGACTCGTGTGTGTGTGTGTGTGTGTGTGTGTGTGTGTGTGGGCTTTGAGGCAAAAAGTCAGGCGAGGCTATTATTAAAACCCAACTTTAGGGACTTCTTTGCCACCCAGTTCAGGATGTTATCTGACCAGGTAAATGTGATGACAGTGTTGTATTGTATAGCTTGCTGGTTAATTTAGTTGAGGCTCCCATAGCTAGTAAGTAGCCTAAGAAGACTGATAACAAATTTCTAGAAATAATCCTTGTATTTTTTGTCGCATATTGATCCATTTTATATTACCGATGGTTGGTAATGTTTCCGTTTCATTGTTTTAGTTAATTTGTTTTAGTTAACATGAACTCAGGTGGCAGTGTTGTACATGTTTTGTCAGGAAATCAGAAAGGGGATTTGAAATGTGTCTAGTACCACCATGAAGGCATAGTCCAATCATTAAGGATGTCTAATAAATGCTATGCTATTATATTTAACCCAATGCTCTCTCCATAATAACCTAAAGTAACTCTTCAGATATGGTCAGTCAAGGCGTCCACATGCTTTCCAGCCGAAACAGTTCGGACGAGTTCGTGCATATATTCAGACGTTTTGGACTTCGGTTATTTCTTTTTTTTCGGTGTTCTGCCGCATGACATTTTATCTGGAGGCAAGCCGAAATTGGTAGCCAAAGTCTACGACCCTTCGTTGTTGATTGTTCAACAGTTGGGATTCATCGATCACACCATACAGAACCAATCAATCGATATAATCGAGAACAATCATCAGAAATCACGCGATATGAATCAGACAGCGGGGCGCCGTCTTCTTTGTTGACATCGAAAGAAACGACTCTTAGTTAGATTTTAGTTGCGCAATTTTACATCTATCTCCTCGGCAAAAATGTTAAAATGAATGACAGATTTATTGAGTTCTATTAATTAGGACTATTTTGGGTACGCGTATACTGGCTACGGCGACTCAATGGACAAACAGTACTATTGCCGCTTTTTTTCTCGTTTTTCAAGTGAAGGTATTTTAAGGGAGTATGTGAGCAAACTAGTTCGGTTTGCCTAGCAACTGAAACATGCAGACGCCTTGATTTGTGCGTTTTTTCCCGTGGGAGACCTGGGCTCAGATCCGCCTGTAACACTTGTGAGATGATCATTTTTGGGATCTCTCTCTCTCTCTCTGTAGCTGGGTGAGCTGGGCAAATGAGCAGGAAGGGGAGGGGGTGGAGGAAGCTCAGTGAGGGAGGCAGGTGGTGCCTTTGGAAAGAAGCAGGCTGTAGAGGAGGAGCGTTATTTTTCAGTAAGTGGATCATCCTTTTTGTAACCTGGATGACATTGCTACTACGCTTATGAACCAAGTTATCCTTTTGGAGGAAGGTATGCAAAGCTCTTTCCTTTTGACCCCAGTGGACAATGTCTGATCATAGTAAAGAAGAAGCCCTCTCAAACGGCTCATGGTGAGCCCACATGAACGCAACCCACAGGTGTATTCATTACGGTTCTGTTGCAAAACGTTTTGAAACAATTGGCATTATGAATACACCCATGGTTTTACTTTTGCCTTGTTGGAGAAATCAACCAACCTTTTCTCTCCCTCAGGTAGAAGGGAAGGAGAAGGAGCAGTTGTCTGCCCTACAGAAGCACCATGAAGAGGAGATTGACCACAGCAAAAAAGAGATTGAGCGCTTGCAGCGTGAGATTACCGTCTCAACGGCAAAATCAAGAAGCTGAAACATAAATGGCATATTATATATTATATACATATGACAGCTCAGTCACACTGCTTACATTACTACCTATCCCATATATCCCTCATTGCCTGATTTGGTGTTTGTCAGCCTGGTCTCATACACTAGACGAAACATAGTTTTACAAATCCGGGACACTCAAATGTAGTATATTTGACAGTTGGTGTGGTTACATAAAACAGATGGTTACATAAGGCAAAAGTAGAGTGGTTGGTATGGGTGGGTGTTTTGTATAACACGAACGTCTAACAACCCAAAGGTTGTGAGTTCGAATCTTATCACTGACAACTTTAGCAACTTTTCAACTGCTTACTACATTTTAGCTACTTTGCAACTACTTGCATGTTAGCTAACCCTTCCCCTAACCTTAACCCTTTAACCTAACTGCTGAACTTAACCCTAACCTTAATCCCTAACCCTCTAACGTTAGCCAGCTAACTAACGTAAGCCAGCTAGCTAACGTTAGCCACTTAGCAAGAGTTCGTAACATATCATACTTGTCGCATATTTGTACATTTTGCAAATTCGTAATGTATTGTTCATTTTTCTAATTTGCTACATTGTACGTTTTGCAAATTGGTAACATATAATACGAATTGTAATTTGTGTAACATATCATACGAAATGGGTGATGGACATCCACATATGAATACATACCATACGAAATGTAACATATCACACTAAATGATATGTATGAAAAAAATGTATGCACTCATTAACTGTGAATCGCTCTGGATAAGAGGGTCTGCTAAATGAAGTTTGGCTCTGATTTACATACAGAATAATACTAAATGCTCTGAGACCAGGTCGTTCGTAGGCAGTTGTTGTAAGAGGTTGTATATGACTCCCATTCAAAGCATTAATAAAGCACTAATGTTGTTTTCCGATTGGGAGAGTTTATCTTGAAATCAGGCACATTTATTATGACAGTTGAGCATTTGATTTCAGGTGTGCAATATTTTGAAAGCGTGAGCTGCACACATTTAGCTGTGACAGGCAGCCCAATGTCAAATCAGAACCAGTTCTAACAATGATTACAATAATCCCATTTCTTCCACATCCATTAGAAATAAATCTGATTTCCATCGCCAAGATCTCGTGCATAAAACTGCAGATAATTTTTCACACGTTCTGTTCAATACGTTTATACTGTAATTCAATCACAGCATTGTGCAGTATTGAAATCCGAAAATGTGCTTATTTTGAATGTACAGCTACAGTCAGGACCAAGACGTTCTGGAAACATGGGACTTTTTATTGGTGGAAAGTAATGTCAATCCACGATTAACCACTTCGATTGGGGGCATACGTAGTTAGGTGGGGGCGTAGTCTTTCGTCGCGGAGTGGTGGTGTGCAAGCGACTGGACAGTCTTAAACTGTATAGTGGGTAGACTCAAACATATTGTTGTTGATATTGACCATAGTGGATAACTATTTTGTTTAATTGTTGCAAAATACATTTAAAGCTACTGATATATTCCTGGAAAAGATAGGTAAGCGTTTGCTAATTAATCATTTTGGTGGGTGGTTTGTTTGAACGCTGAAAGGTGTCCAGCAAGCTAACAAGGCCTTAGCTAGCTAGCTATTTGCTTGGCTAAGCGTATGAACCTTGATGCTTTATTTTGATATAAATGTTGGTAGTTCTAACGCTAAACGTTTATTTTGCTGGGTGTAAATGTTCCAAATTGTGAATTCAGTCGAATTCGTCTAACAATGTAGCAAACGAACTAAATCTAGTTGTGTAGCTAGCTGCAGTAAAGGAGGTAGCTATTATTGGAAGGGGGCGGGACAGTGTTTAACCATGAAATGCACACCGCCAGCTAAGATAGCTTCAACAACAACAAAACCTTTTTTTTACTGGACTAGCTAGCTAGAATACTCACTGTTTTTGTTTACTGTCTGTTGGCGTTCACTAACTAGCTTGCTCCCGATATAACCTTACTGTTCACTTGTCCCCCAGGTTTTAATTTTTTCTGACCTCATGGTTGCCTGCATTAAATGAATGGTTCTGCTTTTCTAATGTATTTATAATATCTTAGCCAATCTGAACAAGCTAGCTGAACTATTTACAATACTTGCAGAGGTTTAGCTAGATTACATGAAGTTACAATTGCAGCAGGAAAAAATGCACAATGTATGTTAGAAAAGTGAAAGTTTATGTACCATACAAGTTGCTAGTGTCATGATCTGTAAAGGGCAGCTGAAACAAATATGTTATAATGTGGAACATTCTAACTGTCTCTCAAAAGAATGGCTGCCGCCGCCGAGGCGAACGGTACTTCTGCCCTGGTGAGGGAGGAAGAGGAGCCTATGGAAGTCACTGCCGAAGGCGAGCACACAGAGAACTACCAGACACTCATCGATGCCGGACTGCCACAGAAAGTGGCCGAGAGTCTCGATAACGTATTCTCAACCGGTGGGGAATCCGTCATACAATGGCTGAGTCTAATCCATTTTCCAAGGAAGCATGATGATATTGCTCGACGTCCCATGAAGTGGAGAAAGGCCAGGTTGTAATTGTAGGAATCGGTCTTGTTACCCTCAGGCTTGGTGGCGTTCGCTGACCTGGACGAGAGGGCCATTGATGCTCTGCGGGAGTTCAATGAAGAGGGAGCGCTGTCTGTACTGTTGCAGTTCAAAGAAAGTGACCTGTCCCATGTGCAGGTGAGTTACAGGGGGAGAGGAATGAAAGAGGACATGGAGGGGTCTATACATTTTCCTCTGCTCATAACCCCAATACATGAATCAACTGTCCCATGGTTTGCTTTCCAGAACAAAAGTGCTTTCCTTTGTGGAGTCATGAAGACGTACAGACAGAGGGAAAAGCAAGGAAGTAAAGTACAAGAATCCACCAAGGGTCCTGATGAGTCCAAGATCAAGGTAAAATGCAGTCGTTAGAAAGTTAGTTCAGTTGCTTAAATATAACCTGCTGTGTGCGTGTGTGTGAAGGGGTTAAAGTTCTCCGTCACTGTGACGGATTTCAGTCATGGATTCTGGATAGGTCATTTTTAAGATCAGTGTAGACCCGCAATAAAACTCTCCGGGGGACTGGTTTGGCAATGACATAGCCTAATAGACCAACGGAAGCATGTCTGTTTTGTGCTAAATAAATTCCCAAATAAATGTATTCTCAAAGATAACATGTTCTGTTATGCTGTATGCACTGACCTGACATGCATGATTGTCGCTGACACTCTGATGTTCAGATAAAGGGAATTAAATCGTTTGTAATGCGCGCCACCACAGCGCTCATCTCAAACAGTGGTGTGTGTAGCCTACTGTACATTTACTATATAGTCATTTAGCAGATGCTCTTATCCAGAGCAACTTACAGTCGTGAGTGCATACATTTTCATACTGGGCCCACGTGGGAATCGAACCCACAACCCTGGCGTTGGAAGCGCCATGCTATACCACTCAGGACCACTGTAGCTGCTGGCAAGGTAATTCAAAGCCTGTACTTTATCACTTAGGATGTAACTTTCCAGGGCTGGGTTTCCCAAAAGTATTGTAGCACTAACATCTTAATTCCATATAAACTAAATGGACGAAAGATGATCTTAGTGCTATGATGCTTTTGTGAAACCCTTCCCTGTGCTACTATTTTTGCCATGTGATGTTCAACCTGTAAATCGATGTGCCTCACAGAGTGGAGTCTGACATTTGCAACGGCAGATATAGACTATATATACAAAAGTATGTGGACACTGCTTCAAATTAGTGGATTTGGCTATTTCAGGTGTATAAAATTGAGCACACAGACATGCAATCTCCATAGACAAACTTTGGCAGTAGAATGGCCTTACTGAAGAGCTCAGTTACTTTCAAAGTGGCACTGTCATAGGATACCACCTGTCCAACAAATCAGTTTGTCAAATTTCTGCCCTGCAAGAGCTGCCCCTGTCAGCTGTAAGTGCTGTTATTGTGAAGTGGAAATGTCTAGGAGCAACAACGGCTCAGCAGAAAAGTGGTAGACCACACAAGCTCACAGAACAGGACCGCCGAGTGCTGTAGCGCGTAAAAATCCTCTGTCCTCGGTTGCAACACTCACTACGAGTTCCAAACTGCCTCTGGAAACAACGTCAGCACAATAACTGTTTGTCGGGAGCTTCATGAAATGGGTTTCCATGGCCGAGCAACCGCACACAAGCCTAACATCACCATGCGCAATGGCAAGTGTCGGCTGCAGTGGTGTAAAGCTCGCCGCCATTGGACATTCTAGACGATTCTGTGCTTCCAACTTTGTGGCAACAGTTTTGGGAAGGCCCTTTCCTCTTTCAGCATGACAATGCCCCCCCGTACACAAAGCGAGGTCCATACAGGAATGGTTTGTCGAGATGGGGGGGGCAACTCCATATTAATGCCCATGATTTTTGGAATGAGATGTTCGACGAGCAGGTGTCCACAAACTTTTGGTCATGTAGTGTACTTTTGAGGAGATGGGAAACGTTGCCCATGCTACGTCAGTGGGCCGGGAGGTGCGTTCTGGATGAGTCTGGGACAAGGAGCGCTCTCCTTCAAGGAGTGGATGGGAGTCTATTGGGTGCTAGCTCAAAAACCCAACATTTAGCATGAATTTCATCAACAAGAAGTACAACATTACAAATATTTTCCCATATGTGAGATAATTAACTTGCTGTAATATAGTATAGCTCTGGAATTGTGACATTACATACTTTGAGGAAAATAGGCAGATTTCTCGGCATATACACTGACTTTGAGAAAGGATTGCATGAAGATTAGCTTAGCAACCGTGTGACGCAGCATGACACCGTGAACACGATTGGTCAACAGTCTGCTGGGTGGAACGTTATACGTTCCTTCATTCATTGGATTCCTATGGGTGGCGGGTAGGAGCGTTGGGCCAGTAACCGAAAGGTTGCTGGATCGAATCCCAGAGTTGACAAGGTAAAAATCTGTCGTTCTGCCCCTGAGCAAGGCAGTTAACCCGCTGTTCCCCGGGCGCCGATGACGTGGATGTCGATTTAAGGCAGCCCACCCCGCACCTCTCTGATTCAGAGGGGTTGGGTTAAATGCGGAAGACACAGTTCAGTTGAATGCATTCAGTTGTACAACTGACTAGGTATCCCCCTTTCCGATCTGCACCATGCAATGCACCCTGGACTAAAGGTGCAGACAAATGTGCTTGACCCTCCGTTAAATTACACATTTCTCAAAGTAGGAATATTGCCAAAATAGGAACAATGGCTCATTCGAGAGAATACATCCTCCTGAGTTATGACATCAGCCAGTATTGAAATCTGACATGTATGATAGACGTTTTCGCGATCTGAAAGTCATATATTCCTATTAACTTCCAGTGTAGTGAGAGCGACTATATCACAGTGCTACATCATACCGGCCAGATTTCTGCCTGATTGAACGCCAATAACTCAGATACACATGAAATGACCCAGGGAATCGATAGAACATCACTCAGAGATGCACAAAAACAATATAATATTCAAAATGGGTGAATCTTTCATTTTTTAAGGGGCAATGGCGTCTTAAAAGGGCAATAATGTACTTTGTAATAGAAACCAAAAAATGTAATTTGAGTGAATAATAATTTGAGGACCTCCTGGCCGCAGTGACAAAATGTAGCTGTTTTAAACGTAATTTCCTGCAATTCTACACATTTTGCCATGGCTTATGCCAGCGTTTCCCAAACTCGGTCCTGGGGACCCCAAGGGGTGTACGTTTTGGTTTTTGCCCTAGAACTACAATTTTTGATTCAAATTATGAACTCATCATCAGGCTTTGATTCTTTGAATCAGCTGTGTAGTGCTAAGGAAAAAACCAAAATGTGCGTCCCTTGGCATCTCCAGGACTGATTTTGATTTTTAGATTCTCCCAGACTGTCTTATCTTTTATTTGGGTGATTTTGTTAGTTCTCAAAGATGATCTTATTAGAACATGTATAGGTCCATTATCTTTCCAACATACTTTATATTTGGTTTTAGTCATTTAAGTTTACACTGAAAAAGTTTTTCCATCCTGAAAAATAGTTCCCCATTTGTATATATATTTTTCCTGTTTGGACATAGGCGGCCCGAAAAACACTTGGGTGACGCGCCCAAAACCTTTCTATGCAGCAAAAACCCTGGGATGTTGTGTCCATTGGGGTAAATGCAGATTGCCAAGCCCCATGCTTCAGCTTATGTATTTATAGCCACTATGTTGCATCAGTTAGGCTACTGATAATATAGACCTTGCGTAGGCTATATCAGGGATCATCAACTAGATTCAGCCGCGGGCCGTTTTTTGTTTGTTGTTTTTTTCTTGAGCGTATGGCCAGGGGGCCGTAACATATTTACCAATAATTTGTAGACTGCAAATTGACCGCAAGAAGCCCAAACAGATATCATATTTGACTAAAACACAATAATTTCAAACCTTAATGACATTTTGTATATGATCACCATACATCTCTCTATTATGTGTGGGAATACTTTGCAACAGATTTCCAAAATTGAAATTCCTTGAAGCTGATTTGTCTAGCGATTTTAAAAGAAAAATGTTTTTATTGAATGCCAATTACTGCTTATCACTTATTAACCATCATTTATCCACATTACTTTAATAAAATATTTCAGTTGTGTATATTACATTAGTTATATTACATTTACATTTACATTTTAGTCATTTAGCAGACGCTCTTATCCAGAGCGACTTACAGTTAGTGAGTGCATACATTTTTTTTTTTCCATACCCCCCGTGGGAATCGAACCCACAACCCTGGCGTTGCAAACGCCATGCTCTACCAACTGAGCTACATCCCTGCCTGCCATTCCCTCCCCTACCCTGCGCCGCCCCATGGGTCTCCCGGTCGCGGCCGGCTACGACAGAGCCTATCACTGCAATGCAGTGCCTTAGACCACTGCGCCACTCGGGACCACTGGGACCACATGTAGCGAGATGGATAGATAGATGTACTGAATGCTCTTGAAAGAAAGAGAGCCAGAGAGTTAACATTTACATAGTTGATTATTGTGGAGGGCCTTCCAAACCAGACAAATGGATGCGTAAAAGACGCAGCAACTCAATGGTTTTCAATGGGAGGAGTGTGTTGTGTTGTGCTGTCCGTCAGAAAAGTTGCATCCATCAACCAATTAAAAACTTAAAACTGCGTTTTCACCCACCAAACAGCTGCGTTGGACATGCGTTTTAGTTTGAAGGCAGCCTTACTTTGTGGTTCAAGGTGTATCTTCATGTCTGTGACTTTCGCTCTCACCCCTAACCTCCCATTGGCCCAGGGCCTCCTGCAAAACTCCAATCACAGTATCTCTGACAGGGAGTTACTACAGGAGTCGACAGGTTTATGGTGCAGAGGGCTTCTCCACTCCTCATATGGGTAGAGTATTAGTTACAGTATACATATGAAAAAAAAATATGCATGACTTACTGACTGGATGATATTGGATGACTTCATTATTTAATTCCAAGTCATCTCATCTCTATAGAGCTGCTGTCTGACAATCATTATTTTAGTAGTTCTTCAAAGTAAATTAGGTGTACTTTTATGACAGCTGAATACCAACTATTATGGCCGGGGGGGGGGGGGGCTTTACTTCGCTCATCGCGCTCTAGCGACTCCTTGTGGCGGGCCGGGCGCCTGCAGGCTGACTTCGGTTGTCAGTGAACGGTGTTTCCTCCAACACATTGGGGCAGCTGGCTTCCGGGTTAAGCAGGCGGTTGTTAAGAAGCGTGGTTTGGCGGGTCATGTTTCGGTGGACTCGTGACTCGACCTTCACCTCCCGAGCCTGTTGGGGAGATGCAGCGATGAGACAAGATCGAAAAAAGGGATTATATATATGTATATGTATGTGTATATGTGTCAGTCAAAAGTTTGGACACCTACTCATTCCAGGGTTTTTCTTTATTTTTACTATTTTCTACGTTGTAAAAAAATTTAATAAAAAAAAATATATAATCTGTCTCTACTTGTCCGAAGGACTAATGGCTAATAAAGTTAATGTCAAACCCTGTGAATCCAACATATCATTTTTTTTTAATTGTCGAGTTAATAGACTATTTTACTGTATTGCAAAAGTGATATTGAATTGTGTTTGGTTGTCAACACAACCAAATATCAACATTTGAAAGAGATGTATATTTTGTGCCACTGATTTATTAGTCTGGCTTTAATTCCAGTTTGTCCTAAAAATTTACCAACGATCTAAGTTAAAGAATAGGAGTAAATGAAATACGATTTTAAAGTTTGATTTGATTTAGTCTTATTCTTTAACTTTTATTTTTGGTTGAGATGGGGACGTAAGAAAAAAAATATCAATTGACTAATTTGTAGACAAACTGGAATTAAAGCCGAACGAAGTCAGTGGCACAGATGGAACTATACATCTCATTCAAATGTTGATATTTGGTTGCGCTGGCAACCAAACACAATTCAATATCCAGTTTGTCAACTAATTAGTCATTTATGTTGGATTCAATTCTCAACCAAAAATAAGTTAAAGAATAGGACTAAATCAAATCAAACTTTAAATGCACTTTAAATAAAGTTTGAGTTATTCCTTTTCTTTAACTTACTTTTTGGTTGAGAGAGACGTGAATCCAACATGAATTATTAACTTTAAGATTCCACTTGAAATCAGCCAAAGCTTGAAACCCTAGGCAAGTATGTGTAGTCAAATTTTAGTTGAACCCTTGGTTGAATTGAAACAATAGCTGTTGATGAGTTCGCAAATGCGATATAGGCCTAAATGGTGTCATTAATGATGTGACTTATAAAGTATGGTTACATTTAATTTTCTGTTAAACCTAGTCTTTGGAATGACTTCGATAGCAACAATGAATATATTTAGTTAAGAGATCTCTCAAAAATCATTCTCATGCTGGCGCATTGGTAGTAGTCGGTGACATATCAAAGCTAAGCAGGGCTGGGCTCGGTTAAAACCCTGGATGGGAGACCAAATGGGATAGCTGTAGATAAACCAACTCTCCAGTAGGAGGTGCTGCCCAGCCTATTGTTGTTTTTTTCTTCTTCTGATATTGGATATAATGTCGAAGATTTGACGTTGTTTCAAATATATTTTATACAAGGTTTGTCTATGTTGAAAATTGGTAACCATGATGACATAATCCTGTGGTTGTAATTTCACTCTCAAACGTTGTGTGTTCCCGTTTGATGTTGTGTAGTTCTGTAGTGCTTATGCTGACATCTACGTGTTCCCCAGGCTCTGTTGGAGCGAACAGGATACGCCTTGGACGTCACCACGGGACAGAGGAAATACGGCGGGCCCCCACCAGAGGAAGTGTTCCAGGGAGCACAGCCTGGGATTGGAACTGAGGTAAAGCTGCCCGAGATGTACCATTATAGCATTGTGGCAAAGCCTTTGACTGATATAGAGAAGAGAGATGAGTTTGCAAGACTTTGGCCCCAAGAATGTCAACATACGTTTATATCAACACTACAGCAGTCTTCCCCAGCTAAAGTATCAAATGAGCTGATCCAATCACATTGTGGAACCCTCAATGATCTAGGCTCTGTTTTCTGCCTTCAGGTGTTTGTGGGAAAGATCCCCAGAGATCTGTATGAAGACGAGCTGGTGCCACTGTTTGAGAAGGCGGGCCCAATCTGGGACCTGAGGCTAATGATGGACCCCCTGTCGGGTCAGAACCGGGGCTACGCCTTCATCACCTTCTGCGGCAAGGATGCAGCAGCTGAGGCGGTGAAACTTGTAAGTCCCTTCAGTCAGTCAAGTCTTACTTCACCTTCTAAGAACCAAACGGCTGGTTTCTGCCATTTTTATTTTGAGGAACTGCAGTTTTATCAGAATTGTTATCTGTTTTGTCCTCTTATAAGAGGGTGTCTGATAAAACTGCAGTTCCTCGCAATAAAATGACAGCTCTTAAGCCATCTTTCCTCGCTTCTTGTTTTCAGTGTGATAACTATGAAATCCGGTCTGGGAAATACCTTGGAGTGTGCATATCTGTAGCAAACAACCGCCTGTTTGTCGGATCAATCCCAAAGAACAAGACCAGAGAGAGCATATTGGAGGACTTTGGTAAAGTCACAGGTCAGTGAAAGTGCAGACACCCCAATTTGGTTTACATTGCTTTATATTCTGTGGTTATCAATGTTCAGATATCAGTCATGTGACGCAAGTCTCTCATTCTTCTTCCTCCAGAGGGGCTTCAGGAAGTGATCCTCTACCACCAGCCAGACGACAAGAAGAAGAACCGTGGCTTCTGTTTCCTGGAGTACGAGGACCACAAGTCTGCAGCCCAGGCCCGCCGCCGCCTCATGAGCGGCAAGGTGAAGGTGTGGGGGAACCCGGTCACTGTGGAGTGGGCCGACCCGGTCGCTGAGCCCGACCCAGATGTCATGGCTAAGGTGAGTCATGTCTTGCTCACTCACTTGCTCTCTCACACTGTCATTTTTCTTGTCTTACAATGACCTCTCTCTGCATAAACTGAGATTAATATGGAGTTGAACTGTAATGTTTGTATCCTCAGGTAAAAGTCCTGTTTGTCAGGAAGCTTGCCACCCCGGTCACAGAGGAGTTACTGGAGAAGACTTTCTCTGCGTTTGGAAAGCTGGAGCGGGTGAAGAAGCTCAAAGACTACGCCTTTGTCCACTTTGAGGACAGGGACGCAGCTGTGAAGGTGGGTTACCCTCAGTAAAAACATACTCCTATATTTTTTACCGTGCTTTGTATGTGTGATACAATTTTTGCTGCTTTTCTCAGGCAATGGCAGAAATGAATGGGAAGGAGCTGGGGGGAGAGGAGATTGAGATAGTCCTGGCCAAGCCCCCCGACAAGAAAAGGAAAGAGAGGCAGGCTCAGCGCCAGACCACCAGAAACCCAGGGTGAGGCCACAGAGACTGTGCTTGACAAATATCTGTTATATCTGATTGAGTAGATCTCCTGTCATGGGATTACGTTGAAGCTTATGTTATTACTGTATTCTGCAGGTATGATGACTATTACTACTACCCACCTCCACGCATGCCTCCACCAGGTAGGGGCAGGGGCCGTGGTGGCCGAGGGGGCGGTGGCTACGCAGCCTACCCCCCAGACTACTACAGCTACGAGGACTACTACGATGACTACTACGGCTACGACTATCACGACTACCGCGGGGGTTATGAGGACCCCTACTACGGTTACGACGATGTGTACAGCATGAGAGGCCGTGGCAGCCGGCCCAGCAGGGGAGGCCCACCCAGGGCCCGTGGAGCACCACCCACACGGGGCCGAGGGGGCTATGCCCAGAGGGGGCCACCCATCAGTGGGCCCAGAGGGGGCCGTGGGGGGCCCTTCCAGCCACAGAGGGGCCGAGGTACCAGAGGAGCCAGGGGGAACCGCGGGGGCAATGTGGGCGGGAAGAGGAAGGCGGACATCTTCAATCAGCCTGACTCCAAGCGCCGGCAGACCAACCAGCAGAACTGGGGGTCCCAGCCCATCGCCCAGCAGCCCCTGCAGCAAGGGGCCGACTATTCCGGTAACTATGGTTACAGTAATGACACCCTGGAGTTTTCACAGGATTCTTATGGGCAGCAGTGGAAGTAGACGCATCAAAAAAGGTATTTGGCAAAATAAAAATAAAAAATACAGGGGGAAAAAACATAAGGAGATTGGCGAATGTTTTTTGATTGACTTTCTATTCTTCATACCTCATGAAAAAAAACAAATATTTCACTGAGACCGAAAAAAATGGACAGACCCCCCAGAGTTGGCACATGATTGGCTGGAATTGCATTTTGGCCTGAAGATGTGAATGTAACCGTTTTGCTGAATCATTTCTTACGGTTACATGGGACAAATGTCTTAAAACACACATCACTTTTACCTTCCAACATTTTGTTTGTTTCTTTTAAAGCCAACAATGAGCATTTTAAATGTGGACATTCATTTTCAAAAGTCTGAGAGGACATTAAAATCATGATATTGCCTTGCAGGAAGTTTGTGTCCAAGCCCTTCCCTCCCCTACCTGTATTCCCCTTATTTCTGGTTTCTAATAGTGGCATAGGGACTTGCTTGTAAATAATTGCTTATGGCTAGAGCTTCATATTCATTTTTTGCCGTGATGAAAAGAATCCACAGGAAGTAGAAACATTTGAACGTTTTGTAATGTTAAGTGTATGTCAAGCATTTCTAGAGGTAGATCAATTGTGTTTTTTAAAACTGATATTATTATATAACTTCCTATGTTTTCTTTGAACTTGCCCGTTTAGAATTTGGTTTGGCTTACCTTAAAAGCCATTGCAATTTGTTCTCTGATGTTTGTATTTATAACTTTTACGTTTGTTCCGTTTCAATAAAACTCAGTTGAGCATTATTCAATTGTCAGATACCTTCAAATTCAACGGTGTCATTCAGTATTTGAGTCTACTCTTAAACCTACCTCAAATTTCACATTTGGAATGAGATTTTGTCGGCTTTTTGCTCAAAGAATAAATCAAGAGACCAAATGAAATTGTCAAATACCAAAAGACTGGACGACAGAGAGCACAAATTATGTTTGAATGACTGAATAAAAAAGGATTATAACCCTTTATTTTCCAGGATATGCCACCCTCTTATGATGATCTGGTAAAAGTTCAAAGGTATACAAATGAAATTAACACAATAGTTGTACATTTGTACAACGATGCAGATTTTTCTACCTCACAATCATTACATTGGACTCAACAGGAAGACCAGAACAACCGAGAATTCTAATACATTCCCCTTCCCTGAAGGCACTGGATCAGTTGCAACTCACCTCCACTCAAACACCATGAGGCCCAATTACACAGTAATTTGTTATTACAGACCGAGAACCTCCAAAATATATAATTTATTTTTGCTAATTATCAAAGTAATGTCTGTGCTGCTGCTGTACGTTTTTGTATTTTGCTGCTGTAGCAATGACCCTTCAAGCCCTGCTGTCTTTCCATATAGAAATGCTAAGAGCAAATGCTTTTGATCCCATTTATATTATTATTTGTCTTTATGTTTTGTCCTTTTATTCCAACTTACCCAGGTGGTGAAGCGAGAGTGGCTTCGCTTGAGTGAGGAACGAACTCACCCTGAACGGTGTTCCTTACAAAAGGCCCGGGTGAGCTAGTTTAGAGTACTGTCTCCTCACCTACAACTGCTGCTAAAATCCAAGGGGGGGATTTCCAGCCACAGTCATGTCATGCTTGTTGTTATTGTTGTTACTAATATACCACTGTGAATGATGTAGGCCTACATTTCAATTGATTATTTTTGTGGGTGTCAACTACATCAACCCTTGCATCCTCAAACTAGGGTAATGAAGCTTCTAAATAATTGCATTGTTATTGTAAATCTAGACAGAAGACAAATGACTTTCTCCAGATTTGAAGTTATCATACCCCTTACTTGGGATGTAGCCTAGTCATCCTGATTGACCAAGAAGTGGTAGGTCACAGTAGTATTAAAGCCAGTTAGCCACATTTACTCAGAAGAGATTTGATTTTTACGGAATGAAATGGACAAAAACAGACAGTCCAACTCGAGGCTTTTATAGAGGAGATAGGCCTAAACCCCCAACACCTGTCACTTAGGCAATTCCCTATATATGGTGCACTACTTTTAAACAGAGCCTATATGTAGTGCACTACATGGGGAATAGGGTGCCATTTGGGACACAGACTTATCTACACCCTGTTGTGATAATTGCTTCAGCTGTCACAATGTCACATTCTGTTGAAAAAGGATTTCCCATCTTAACCTATAGAGGCAGCTTTCTCAAGGAAATAATTCATTTTTTCTCTAAGAAATCATATTTGTTTTATTGGGCAATTATAAACTCTGACATTGAATTTCTGTATGATAGATACCTGTTACTACTGTGGTAATAACTACACTGATCCCAATGCCTTTGAAGATTACAATTTAGTCGAAGCGATAGAACAAAAGACAGTGGCTGTAAATTGGTCTTTACATTTTAATTCCACAAGAGGGCAGTGTCTGTATTTGTTTCACAGATGTGCCTTATATTGCACCAGCAAATGTTATTCATGTTGCCCATAATTTAGCTTTGTATTAATGTCTAATTAAAGGATGCTATTTAATAAGAGTAGTTGTTTTTATATGTTGCCTCTGTCACCAGACTGTAGGGGAGCTTCCCTCAAGCTAGCCCTCACCGTGCCCTTCCTGTGGACCAGTTAGGTTGGGCTCATACGAGATGGAGTGGACTAATGGGTAAGGTCTTATATTTGTTCCTTTTCTATTTTGTTCTGTATTATTAATCTATAACATTTGAAATTGGAGACCTTAATTTATATTACAGTATGAGGTAAATCCATTGAAGGTGCTGGGAGATGTGATGTCATAATTGTTATTCACTGACATTTGCATAGAATATTCCAATAGGATTCCAATTTGTTTTCAAGACTCCATTGAGGTGTTGCCAAACCTATGCTATGTTTCACAGGAATGTCTGATATTGGTTGATATGGCTTTCTCTATGTGGCCCTTTTCCAGCCCTCCTCCTAAGGAGACCTCTGTTATTTTCTCCAAACTCCCAGCCTGGGCCACAGTGGGCATCGACATCTCCCCTGACGAACTCCTGGAATATTTCCGAGCCCAGGCTGATGAAAAGACTCCAGGGCTACTCTACTACATTGATCTCCTGTCCCCATACCTCTCACCTCTGCTGCTGATCTTTGTCATAGCTGCTGCTGGCTACCATGCTTACAGAAAAGTACAGAAATGGAAGGTAAAAAATTATATTTATTTTCTTCAAAAATATTTATTTGTATTGACACTGTTTAATCTGTGGATTTGTTCTAGTGATTAATATGTTTATGTTTCCACATCCCTATGCAGAAGTGGTCGGAGGCAGACTCCCTGTCTAAGCAGCTACATCAAGGCCTGGAACTTAAGGAGAGCCTGGCAGCACGGGTGAGAGAGGCCATCCAGCGCCTGGAGGCCCTGGAGGAGGCCAAGCGAGCCGTCCGGGCCTGGGGCAGAAGGGGCAGGCACCATCACCACTGTGGCTGTGGCTCCTCCACCAGATACCATGAAGACAGCCAGCTGGACACCAGCCAGAGACGATGAAATATGAGGGGAAAGTTGGGCCATGTTTTGCTTTATATACACATACTGAACAAAAATATAAACTCAACATGTAAAGTGTTGGTCCCATGTTTCATGAGCTGAAATAAAATATCCCATACATTTTCCATACGCACAAAAAGCTTATTTCTTTCAAATGTTGTGCACACATTTGTTTCGATCCATGTTAGTGAGCATTTTTCCTTTGCCAAGATAATCCATCCACCTGACAGGTGTGGCATATTAAGAAGCTGGTTAAACGGCATGATCATTACACAGGTGCACCTTGTGCTGGGGCGTGTAATTGGCATGCTGACTGCAGGAATGTCTACCAGAGCTGTTGCCAGAGAATGTAATGTTCATTTCTCTACCATAAGCCACCTCCACATCCTGCTTTACCTGCAGGATTGTCCGAAACCAGCCACCCGGACAACTGATGAAACAGAGTATTTCTGTCTGTAATAAAGCCCTTTTGTGGGGAAAAACATATTCTGATTGGCTCGGCCTGGCTCCCAAGTCAGGCCCACCCATGGCTGCGCCCCTGCCCAGTCATGTGAAATCCATACATTAGGGCCTAATTAATTTATATTGAACAAAAATATAAACACAAAATGCAACAATTTCAACAGTTTTACTGAGTTAGTTCATTTAGGAAATTGGTCAATTGAAATAAATAAATTAGGCCCTAATCTATGGATTTCACATGACTGGGCAGGGGCGCAGCCATGGGTGTATGCCCACCCACTTGGGAGCCAGGCCCAGCCAATCAGAATGAGTTATTCCCCACAAAATGGCTTTATTACAGGGCCTCCCGAGTGGCGCAGCGGTCACTACAGACCCTGGTTCGATCCCAGGCTGTGTCACGGCCGGCCGTGACTGGGAGACCCATGATGAGGCAAGGGGAGCCCATCATCATCTATTGATTCCTTGGGGCGGGCTGGGCGCCTGCAAGCTAACTTCGGTCGCCAGCTGGATGGTGTTTTTCTTTTTTTTTAGGGGGTATATCAGCTTTAATATTGCAGATAGATTGTAACTTCCATCAATTTAATTGTCTGCATCACTTCCAGTCCACCATGTTTTTTTTTTCTCGCAAATATATATATACATACATATATACATATAAATACATATATATACACATATCCTTTTTTAAAATTTATTTTCCTTTATTACTTTCCAACCCCACCACCCCTCCCCTAATTGGAGTGAACTAGTGAACAACAACGCTTAGGCCTCTACTTCCAGCTTATACATACTATATACATTTTATGGACAAAGTCAATTTGACAATAATTATATTTTGTTTGTTTTTACTCCTGAACTACCTCTACCCTCAACCTCTCCGATAATTTTCATGATGTCCATCCGGGTTTTGCCTCTACATGCCATATCCCCCAAACTGTGCTCTTTCACAAAAGTTCTCAAGGGAAAAAAGTATTTGATCCCCTGCTGATTTTGTACGTTTGCCCACTGACAAAGACATGATCAGTCTATAATTTTAATGGTAGGTTTATTTGAACAGTGAGAGACAGAATAACAACAACAAAATCCAGAAAAACACATGTCAAAAATGTTATAAATTGATTTGCATTTTAATGAGGGAAATAAGTATTTGACCCCTCTGCAAAACATGACTTAGTACTTGGTGGCAAAACCCTTGTTGGCAATCACAGAGGTCAGATGTTTCTTGTAGTTGGCCACCAGGTTTGCACACATCTCAGGAGGGATTTTGTTCCACTCCTCTTTGCAGATCTTCTCCAAGTCATTAAGGTTTGAAGGCTGATGTTTGGCAACTCGAACCTTCAGCTCCCTCCACAGATTTTCTATGAGATTAAGGTCTGGAGACTGGCTAGGCCACTCCAGGACCTTAATGTGCTTCTTCTTGAGCCACTCCTTTGTTGCCTTGGCTGTGTGTTTTGGGTCATTGTCATGCTGGAATACCCATCCACGACCCATTTTCAATGCCCTGGCTGAGGGAAGGAGGTTCTCACCCAAGATTTGACAGTACATGGCCCGTCCATCGTCCCTTTGATGCAGTGAAGTTGTCTTGTCCCCTTAGCAGAAAAACACCCCCCAAGCATAATGTTTCCACCTCCATGTTTGACGGTGGGGATGGTGTTCTTGGGGTCATAGGCAGCATTCTTCCTCCTCCAAACACGGCGAGTTGAGTTGATGCCAAAGAGCTCGATTTGGGTCTCATCTGAGCACAACACTTTCACCCAGTTCTCCTCTGAATCATTCAGATGTTCATTGGCAAACTTCAGATGGGCCTGTATATGTGCTTTCTTGAGCGGGGGACCTTGCGGGCGCTGCAGGATTTCAGTTCTTCACGGCGTAGTGTGTTACCAATTGTTTTCTTGGTGACTATGGTCCCAGCTGCCTTAAGATCATTGACAAGATCCTCCCGTGTAGTTCTGGGCTGATTCCTCACCGTTCTCATGATCATTGCAACTCCACAAGGTGAGAACTTGCATGGAGCCCCAGGCCAAGGGAGATTGACAGTTATTTTGTGTTTCTTCCATTTGCGAATAATCGCACCAACTGTTGTCACCTTCTCACCAAGCTGCTTGGCGATGGTCTTGTAGCCCATTCCAACCTTGTGTAGGTCTACAATCTTCTCCCTGACATCCTTGGAGAGCTCTTTGGTCTTGGCCATGGTGGAGAGTTTGGAATCTGATTGATTGATTGCTTCTGTGGACAGGTGTCTTTTAAACAGGTAACAAACTGAGATTAGGAGCACTCCCTTTAAGAGTGTGCTCCTAATCTCAGCTCGTTACCTGTATAAAAGACACCTGGGAGCCAGAAATCTTTCTGATTGAGAGGGGGTCAAATACTTATTTCCCTCATTAAAATGCAAATCAATTTATAACATTCTGACATACGTTTTTCTTGATTTTTTTGTTGTTCAAATAAACCTACCATTAAAATTATAGACTGATCATTTCTTTGTCAGTGGGCAAACGTACAAAATCAGCAGGGGATCAAATACTTTTTTCCCTCACTGTACTTATTATGGACCAGTATGTTTTACATTTGTTATTTTGTTGTTATTAGTCCCAATCTTCAGCTCCATTCAACCCCTCCCATCTATCGCTTAACACCATCCATATTGGATTTCTACTTGACATATATTTCTCAACTGCACTGTGATGTTTCACAAAAGTTCTGAACCCTTCTATTCTCATTGTTTCTACAGATTGTACATTGAAAATAAACGTTTTTTCTAAAAGTATTATTAGATTATTGATCGATTGACTATTACTTTTCAGATCACCCAGTCGTGCTATCTGCAGGGTTAGCTCCAGGTAAATATTGCAATCCTTCAGTCATTCCTGGACCTGTGACCAAAAACAAGCTACAAATGGACAGTACCAAAACAAATGATCTAATGATTCTGTCTCTTCGCATCAAAATCTGCAGAGCTGGGAAGATTGTATCCCTCATATAAATAACATTCTACTGGTTGCAAGAATTTTGTATAATAATTTAAATTGAAAAATTATATGTTTAGAATCCGGCTTCGTTTTGCGTATAATTTCATAAACACTATGCCATGGAATCCGTACGTCAAAAATCTCTTCCCAACTATTTTGCAATCTATATGGGACGGCTGTCAATCCTTTGGTCCTTAAATTAAACTGGTATACTTTTTTATTTATCACAATTTTCTTTAACCAATAATGGTATTTAATGCAGGGCCGACAGACAAGTTCCTTACTTTTTCCCCCTTCCCTCTTCCATTTTTTGCGGTAATGCTGCAATTATTTGGTTGCAATTTTGGGTAGAGCATACATTTCCATATGTTTTTGTTAGCTGCATGTGCGACAACTCCACAAGTTCTACCTATGATATCATTTACGAAGATTATACCTTTTTTAAACATAAAAAAATATATATGTTTTTTTATCAATTAGTAAATTTTAGTTTAACCACAATATCAGCTGGACTGTGTTTCCTCCGACACATTGGTGCGGCTGGCTTCCGCGTTAAGCAACCAGTGTCAAGAAGCAGTGCCGCTTGGCAAGGTCGTGTTTCGGAGGACGCATGGCTCTCGACCTTCGCGAGTCAGTAGGGGAGTTGCAGAGATGGGACAAGACTTTAACTACCAATTGACTATCACTGAAATTGGGGAGAAAAAAGGGTAAAAGTAAAACATTTTTTTTTTTTTATCCAAAGGCCTTTATTACAAACAAATACTCCTTAGTTTCATCAGCTGTCCGTGTGGCTTGTCTCGGACGATGTCGCAGGTGAAGAAGCCGAATTTGGAGGTTACATGTGGTCTGCGGTTGTGAGGCCGGTTGGATGTACTGCCAAATTCTCTAAAACAACGTTTTATCTTATGGCTTATGGTAGAGAAATTAACATTTAATTATCTGGCAACAGCTCTGGTGGACATTCCTGCAGTCAGTGTGCCAATTGCATGCTCCCTCAACTTGAGACATCTGTGGCATTGTGTTGTGTAACAAAACTGCACATTTTAGAGTGGCCATTTTTTGTCCCCAGCACAAAGTGTACCTGTGTAATGATCATGCTATTTAATCAGATTCTTGATTTGCCACACCTGTCGGGTGGATGGATTATCTTGGCAAAGGAGAAAGGCTCACTAACAGTGATATAAACACATTTGTGCACAAAATTTTAGAGAAATAAGGTTTTTGTGCGTATGGAACATTTCTGGGATCTTTTTATTTTAGCTCATGAAACATGGGACCAACACTTTACATGCTGCGTTTATTTTTGTTCAGTATATTTCAATTCACTGATTTTCTTATGAACTGTAACTCAGTATAATCGTTAATTGTTGCGTTTATTTTTTTGTTCAGTATTTTTTTATATACCATTTTGTTCAAGTAAATTGACTTGTTATTCTTTGGGATTTCAAGACTGGTGTGGTGTATGTGAAAGGTGGGGATATGATTTAGCTTGGCAAAAAGCAACAGTGCCTTTTTCCATTGAACATGTACTCCTTTATTACATATTTCACAGTTGTCTAGCGCTATTACATCACAATAGGGGTTGAAGTTGTGGAATTTTATCTTCTCAAGTCTGCATATGCAGACTTTGGTTTCTCATGAGCATACACCTCGTCAATTGACCGGAGAAGAAAAAGAGGACTCTATCAGAGATGGCGTGCATGAATCTCTGTGGGATCCCCTCGTGGTCACAAGTTGGAATGGAGTTCCCTCAAGTGGGCATTCGGGACACATCTGTCCATGGCGCTTGCATTGATGCCACGTTCTGGGCACTTCATCAGTGGCCCAATGTCACCTTTGCTCTGGTTGTGGTCTTGATGATCATCCTCTTCATCAGCCTTAGAATCATCAAGAGGAATCAAAACCAGGTGACTGCCCAATACGTTTCATCATACATTTGTCTGGGGTTTATAAGATATTTATCCATACAGTATCAGTAGTAGACAGTACACATGAGTTTAATTCATATTTTGGAGAGAAATGTATATAATTTGCAACAATGATTGAGATAGGATTGGTAATTTTCATTTGAACCCCTGCCGCCTCAGCTGCAGTACACTGCGGGCATGCAGTCGATGTTTCAACAAGGATTCAGGCTACAGGAGGTGATCGAGCAGAAATTGACTGCCCTGGACACAAGACTGACCAACCTAGAGGACTTTCTCTATGGACTGTGGAGACTGTCGCGTGGAGGACGCTCCACGGGCTCGGAATCTGATTAGAGCTCCCTTCCCAGGAACACGCGCTGATACTCGGAATTGTCCGACTGAAAACTGCTTTTTGATAATTGGGGGAAATGTTGTGGTATATTTTTGAACACCCAAATATTTTTTTTAGCTAAATAATAAATATTTTTTAACTTGTTTTCGAGTTTTCAGCAACATTTTATTAAAAGTTGTGTATTATAAGCTTTTACATCAACTAGCTATGTTGTATGCAATTTATTGAATTGTTTGGAAAATGTTTCAAAGGGCAACCTGAAACCGGACCTCTGCTATTAGTGATCATAAATCGTTGTTATATGTATATATATTTCATTGACATTTATTGAAGGTCCCTATTTTTTTTATTTAAATAAATGTATTGTGTATCAGTCATGTGATAGAGGATATTCAATGTATCAGTCATGTGATAGAGGATATTGTGACGTCAGAGGAATGAAGCCTTAGCCAAGATGGCGGCTGCTGGAGGAGAGCCCTCTACCCAGAGTGGTCCGGATGATTTGTTCAATCATTTCTACACAGAGGTAGGATACATTTAGGAAATACATGCTACTCAATGTGTTGATATGTAACCTAACATTATGGATTTGACAAATACAGATAATTCGTCCTCTGGACTTGCATTTATGAGGCATACAAACATTGCTAGCTAAAGAGCTAGAGAGGCTAAAGTTAGCTAACGTTAACGGGGCTAGCTAGCTCGCATAACACGGTATGTTAACGTGCTAGCTAGCAATTGCTAACGCTAACAGAGCAGTGTTGTTGATATGACAGAACACTTCTCTGTGATCCTAACACGCACATAGTTTGTTAAACCGCTATTTTGTTTGTCAGTGTAGAGGAATTTTGTTTCCCTTTTAAACAGTGGTGAAATGGTTGAGGACTTGATCTGTCGTTTTGTGCTCTGGCTAGCCAGCACAGCAGATTCGACCCTCTTGTTTACAGCTAACTGCACTAGGGTTGGACAGGCTTCCTGTGTAGATTAAGACACTGCGAGATATGACTCGGAAAATGTACCTCAATCCAGGGATGACGAATGCGTTGTATAGTACTCCGAATTGTCCTATTATCCCAACTGTTACACCGAGAAGATTGAAAGACTACTAGTTTTTAGGGAAAATGCAGTTTTCGTCCTAATGCTAGCTAGCATTAGCCACAGCAACCATTATGGAATGGCACATAGCCTTTAACAACAACAGGAGCTGGTTGGCAGACACTGCCATTCCAAAATGGCTGCCTTGGCTTCTGCTACCTAGCATGAAGACCAAACGGACAGTTTACCGTAAAACTAAAGTAATTCAATCTTCTCGGTGTAACAGTTGGGGTAATGGGACAATTTTAGGAGTTCAACACATTTCTCATCCCTGGATTGAGGTACGTTTTCTGAGCCATATCTCGCACCGGCTCCGCTGTGTCTTAATCTACACAGGAAGCCTGTCTGACCCTAGTGCAGCTGTAAGCAAGCGGGTTGGATCTGCTGGCTAGTCCTCTGGCATGAATGTAAACATACTCAGTTCCATCTATCCAACCTTCCCCAAGTGGACTCATGAGTCCCGACAGATAATGCTTTGCCAGCTGGCCAGTGAAAGGGATCAAGATTATGTAAATATCCATTCGCTTGCTAATATGACCATGACTGAACTTCTGTGACCCTACATAATATGACATGTCTCTGTCCAACAGGTAAAGCAGATAGAGAAAAGAGACTCTGTGCTAACCTCGAAGCAGCAAATAGACCGGCTGCTCAGACCTGGGTCGTCCTACTTCAATTTAAACCCCTTTGAGGTAAGTGGCTCGTTCCTGTCACATGCAGCTGTAGTCAATCTATTGTTATTGTGACAAGATTGTTATGTAGAACTGCATTGAAGTGTCCTTAGTACAACACCAGCGACCTCATCAAGAGGTTCAAGTCTCTTGGCGTAATGGCTTCGGTGTTGTGCTGACAAGACGCATCGTTGCAGGTTTCAACCCATTTGAGATACTCGCTGAAGGTGCTACATTGGTGTCAGAAGTTAAATGACGTTAACTTTGTGTGACTGTTGCATTTGGGCAAGATGGTAAAGTGCAAGAGTGTGTTTCTCAAAGGAAAAGGGGTAGTGTAACATCCTTTGTACAACACCAGCGACTTTGTCAAGAGGTTTGAATCGCTTGATGTAAATACACTGTGTTGCTTAAGCTATGCAGTGTAAACTTTGCTTCCAGTGAAATGCCTAATTTGAATTTCAGGTGTTACAAATTGATCCAGAGGCAACAGATGAGGAGTTGAAGAAGAGGTTCCGAGCGGTAGGTATACTACATATCTGACAGAAGGTACCGGAGCATCCGGTCTCGGACCTACCGGTTCCAACACAGCTTCCAGGTCATAACACTGTTGAACAGCTAACCCTAGCAGTCCACCTGCACATACTGTACCTGCTATTCACCTGCCCCCTATTAAGAGACTATTTGCAGGGACTCTTTACTCACACATTCATACATACACACTTTCTCTCACTACCATCACTGCTGCTATTATTTATTTGTACTGCTCACTTTATCTACTGTAAATACCTGTCATATTATTGACATAGTACATTTCATAGTAAATACTGTATATTCTACAGTTTATATTTCCCACCATATCTTAAAGCTGAAATCCTTAATGGTGAAACAGCCACGTCCATTTGCGATATTACAACAACAAAGAAGTTAGTGCAAACAACGAACACTGTTTTTTCCCCTCTGACATCATTGCACGCATGAAGGAAGTAGAGGCCGACTGATATGGGATTTTTGGGTCTGATACCAATTTTAGGGAGGCAAAAGTCACCGATTACTGATATATCTGCCAATGTTTTTTTTTTTAGAGATTGAATGAAAAACACAATTTTTTTTAACAATTGACACCAAGGAACTTTAAGCTCTCAACCTGTTCCACTACAGCCCCATCGATGAGAATGGGGGCGTGCTCAGTCCTCTTTTTTTTCCTGTAGTCCACAATCATCTCCTTTGTCTTGGTCACGTTGAGGGAGAGGTTGTTGTCCTGGCACCACACGGCCAGGTCTCTGACCTCCTCCCTATAGGCTGTCTCATCGTTGTCAGTGATCAGGCCTACCACTGTTGTGTCGTCTGCAAACTTAATGATGGTGTTGGAGTCGTGCCTGGCCATGCAGTCATGGGTGAACAAGGGAGTAAAGGAGGGGACTGAGCACGTACCCCTGAGGGGCCCCCTTGTTGAGGATCAGCGTGGCAGGTGTGTTGTTACCTACCCTTACCACCTGGGGGCGGCCTGTCAGGAAGTCCAGGATCCAGTTGCAGAGGGAGGTGTTTAGTCCCAGGATCCTTAGCTTAGTGATGAGCTTTGAGGGCACTATGGTGTTGAACGCTGAGCTGTAGTCAATGAATAGCATTCTCACATAGGTGTTCCTCTTGTCCAGGTGGGAAAGGGCAGTGTGGAGTGCAATAGAGATTGCATCATCTGTGGATCTGTTGGGGCAGTATGCAAATTGGAGTGGGTCTAGGGTTTCTGGGATAATGGTGTTGATGTGAGCCATGACCAGCCTTTCAAAGCACTTCATGGCTACAGACGTCAGTGCTACGGGTTGGTAGTCATTTAGGCAGGTTATCTTAGTGTCCTTGGGTACGGGGACTATGGTGGTCTGCTTGAAACATGTTGGTATTACAGACTCAGTCAGGGACATGTTGAAAATGTCAGTGATACGCATGCTCTGAGTACACGTCCTGGTAATCCGTCTGGCCCTGCGGCCTTGTGAATGTTGACCTGCTTAAAAGTCTTACTCACATCAGCTACGGAGAGCGTGATCACATAGTCATCCGGAACAGCTGGTGCTCTCATGCATGCTTTAGTGTTGCTTGCCTCGAAGCGAGCATAGAAGTGGTTTAGCTCGTCTGGTAGGCTTGTGTCACTGGGCAGCTCGCGGCTGTGATTCCCTTTGTAGTCTGAAAATAGTTTTCAAGCACTGCCACATCCGACGAGCGTCAGAGCCGGTGTAGTACGATTCAATCTTAGTCCTGTATTGACTCTTTGCCTGTTTGATGGTTCGTCGGAGGGCATAGCGGGATTTCTTACAAGCGTCCGGGTTAGAGTCCCGCTCCTTGAAGCGGCAGCTCTGCCCTTTAGCTCAGTGCAGATGTTGCCTGTAATCCATGGCTTCTGGTTGGGGTATGTACGTACGGTCACTGTGGGGACGACGTCATCGATGCACTTATTGAAGAAGCCAGTGACTGATGTGGTGTACTCCTCAATGCTATCTGAAGAATCCCGGAACATGTTCCAGTCTGTGCTAGCAAAACAGTCCTGTAGCTTAGCATCTGCGTCATCTGCCCATTTTTTTTATTAACTGAGTCACTGGTGCTTCCTGCTTTATTTGTTGCTTATAAGCAGGAATCAGGAGGATAGAGTTATGGTCAGCTTTGCCAAATGGAGGGCGAGGGAGAGCTTTGTATGCGTCTCTGTGTGTGGAGTAAAGGTGGTCTAGAGTTTTTTTTTCCCTCTGGTTGCACATTTAACATGCTGGTAGAAATTAGGTAGAACGGATTTAAGTTTCCCTGCATTAGTCCCCGGCCACTAGGAGCGCTGCCTCTGGATGAGCGTTTTCCTGTTTAGTTATGGCCTTATACAGCTCATTGCACTCAATCTTAATGCCAGCATTGGTTTGTGGTGGTAAATAGACAGCTATGAAAAATATAGATGAAAACTCTCTTGGTAAATAGTGTGGTCTACAGCTTATCAGAAGATACTCTACCTCAGGCGAGCAAAACCTAGAGACTTCCTTAGTGGTCCTCTGTAGCTCAGCTGGTAGAGCACGGCGCTTGTAACGCTAAGGTAGTGGGTTCGATCCCCGGGACCACCCATACACAAAAAAAAAAAATTATGCACGCATGACTGTAAGTCGCTTTGGATAAAAGCGTCTGCTAAATGGCATATTATTATTAGTATTATTATTAGTATTTGATTTTGTGCATCAGCTGTTGTTTACAAATATACACATGGCTTAGGCGTATGACCAGGGTGGAAAATTTCAAAATAAAAACCACAGGTCAGGTGTATTCAGGATACTTTGAACATTAAATTAACACAAAAAATTCAGTGAGTTTGTTAGACATTTTTGGGGGATGAAATTTAAAGTCAATTTTTTTATATTTATGGTTGATGGCAGTGGGAACCAAATCATGTATTTGCAGTGTCCTTGTCCATAGACTGCTTTTAAGGTAAGGACACAAACATTTTGTAATTTGGGTGAACTATCTCTTTAAAATAGGGCTGGAAGAAAGTCCTGCTTGCTAGGTTGGCCTCCCCTGAAGTGCTGGGTGTTTGAAAATGTTCTTGTTATAACAACAATGAATTTCTCAATCACCCAACCTTCAAGAAAAATCAAGTGAATATCAATATTCAGGTGGTTTATGCCTACTAGTTGATGCTCCTTGCCGTCATCTTACTCTACATAGACAAATTATGTGTTTATGAGTTGTGAGTTCCCCTACCATCTCTGCCTAGCATGTGCACAATACTAAAATGTCAAATTATATTTGATTCCTGGAGCATTTCATATCCAATGGCTATTTGTATGACTTATTCAAAACTGTCCATGAAGGGCTGCAAAACTACATAACCTAAATAAATAATAAAATATCCTGAAGACAAGATGACATAAATCTGCCCCTACACCCTAACCCAATTATTGTTCTATTTATTGTTGCCCCTCTAGAATAAAACGTACACTTTTGGGTTCACAATCAGTTTGACCTTTTTTTTTCTTTCTTCATAGTTACAAATCAGGGCACCCTACCAAACCCTCCTGCTAAAACATGCTGGCTTTTCGTTGTCACAGCCTAAACGCCAATCACCAAACGAGGGGACTAATGTGAATTAAATTGACTTTAGTACATGCTGTCAAAAGGCTGAATTCTGCAATAGGGACTGGCGTAACAGCAACCTAATTTTGTTGATAACATTGCACATAGAACAGCGCCACCGTGCTACTCTTTAGAGTTTTATAAACTCAGCAGCGAGTTCTCTCTATTCAGCTCCACTGTAATCTTGAGGGGCGTTTCTTTAAAACATGCATCCAATCCCCTTCATCCCTTACATAACTAGACCAATCATATGCTTCAATGTGCTGCGGTTCACAGTGCTGTGGCGAGACATGACAGTGATAGAGGTTCAGCTCGTGATGTTAAATTGCAGTTGCAGATGCTCTGATTTCAAAACGATTTGGAGCATAGTTTTAAAGTTAACGTGCTGACTATACAATGGACTAATTAGAAAAATAAAAGCAGTGCTTTTCAATGCATGAGATATGAGGTGTGCTGTGAGAAGAGGGTCAAATGCATGTGTCTCATGGCCAATGCGTGAGAGTGGGCAGCTCTGTTCCTGACTAGATGAGCCTAACTACATTGCTTGCTAGCTGGCCAGCTAACGTTAACCAAGTGAGAATGTGATGAGGACAGGGCTGCTTGCTTGGTATAGTGTACTTTTGATTATTTACTTATTCAAATACGCTGTCACTGGCAAGCTACTCACCGTCAAACAACCATGCCCACTCTCTCTCACCTCGTGGCTTAGGGCAGAATTATGTTCAACGAGCAACACATAGAGCGCCCTCTTAAGGCAACCATTGATTTATTTTTATGACTGCAAATGAGCGGAGTTATTTGTTAATTCAATGTATATAATATCGCCGCTTAATCTGTGGAATAAAGACTGATGCAAATATTTATGTTAAAGCCTTTCACATAAATATTTGCCTATCGGCTGATAAAATGGTCAACTGATTGATTTATCGGTTAGGCGCAAGAAAGAATAGCACTACGTATTGTAATTTTATTTTTCATGCTACTCGCACTCCTCAGCTCCGCAACAGTAACAAAGGTGGTGGGGCGGCAGTGGCACTGTTTCCGCCCAATGCAGATTCCATCTTTAAAGCTCTACTGCCTTTATTTATATTGCGCCTTTACTACTTATTGCCTTGTATTATAATTTTTATTTTGAGTTCATATTTCACTGCACTGTTGAGAGCTCGCTCGCAAATAAGCATTTCACTGCACCGTTTACACCCCAATGTATCCTGTGTATATAACAAATAAACTTTGATTTGATATCGCTGATTCTCACACTGACGAAAGCGAACTATTTTCTCCTTCCATTTCAGTTGTCCATCTTGGTCCATCCAGACAAGAACCAGGATGATCCAGACAGAGCACAACTAGCTTTTGAAGGTAGAAATATGATTGCAGGCACAGTATGTCTACATCAGTTAGCCTAATACATTCAAAGAGTTCTTAACAACCCCAATCCCACTGTATTTCTAGCTGTGGACAAGGCATACAAAAACCTACTGGACCCGGAACAGAAGAAGAGGGCAGTTGATGTGATCCAAGCAGGAAGGGAATATGTTGAACATAATGTGAGTAAATAACCGCCTGTCCCTCTGTTCACACCTCTCATAGGTAGAGTAGCTTCCCAAATGGCACCCTATTCCCATAGGGCTCTGGTCAAAAGTAGTGCACTATAAAGGGAATAGGGTGCCATTTGGGACGCAACTTTACTGTACAATTGTATTAATACTAGTGATGCCACTATTACAGTTGAGTTTATGTATTGCAGTTGAAGTATCATGTGCTGTGGCATCTTTTTATTGCAACAGATGAAAGAGAAGAAGAAACAGCTGAAGAAGGATGGGAAGCCTCAATTCGTGGAGGAGGATGACCCAGAAATGGTATTGACAAGTGGTTAAATAAATGTGTAACAGATGTAAGGCTGTTTTTGAGATGGGCTTATTGTTATATTACTAAGTTAACCACTCTTCTCTTGATCCTCAGTTCAGACAGGCGGTGTACAAGCAGACTATGAAGCTTTTTGCAGAGCTTGAAATCAAGAGGAAGGAGAGGGAAGCCAAGGACATGCATGAAAGGTAACGGTGTCATTTCAGTCAACTGAATATTTTACATGAAGCATTTGGAGGTACAGTGCCTTCAGAAAGTGTTCATACCTCTTGACTTATTCCACATTTTTTGTTTTGTTACAGCCTGAATTCAAAATGGATAAAATTGACATTTTTCTCACCCATCTACACAAAATGCCCCATAATGACAGTGAAAACATGTTTTTAGACATTTCTGCAAATTTATTGAAAATGAAATATTAATTTACGTAAGTATTCACACCAGAGTCGACACCAGAGCTTTGCAGACCTGGACTGTACAATATTTGCACATTATTCTTTTAAAAATTATAATGTGCAAAATAGACAGCCATTTTCAAGTCTTGCCATAGATTTTCAAGACGGTTTGAGTCCAAACTGTAACTAGGCCACTCATGAACATTCAGAGTTGTCTTAGTAAGCGCCTCCAGTGTATATTTGGCCTTGTGTTTTACGTTATTGTCCTGCTGAAAGGTGAATTTGTCTCCCAGTGTCTGTTGGAAAGCAGACTGAACCAGATTTTCCTCTAGGATTTTGCCTGTGCTTTGCTCTATTCTGTTTATTTTTATCCTAAAAAAAACTCCCTAGTCCTTGCCGATGACAAGCATACCCATAACATGATGCTTCAAAATGTGAAGTGGTACTCAGTGATGATGTGCTGGATTTGCCCCAAACATAACGCTTGTTGTTGATCCATCCTCAGTTTTCTCCTATCATAGCCATTAAACTCTGTAACTGTTTTAAAGTCACCATTGGCCTCATGGTGAAATCCACGAGCGGTTTCCTTCCTCTCTGGCAACTGAGTTAGGAAGGATGCCTGTAACTTTGACGTGACTGGGTGTATTGATACACCATCGAAAGTGTAATTAATAACGATATTATAACCACGATCGATAAAAGACAGTACTGTGCAGCCGTGTTCATCGACCTGGCCAAGGCTTTCGATTCTTATTGGCAGACTAAATAGCCTTTGTTTCTCAAATGACTGCCTCGCCTGGTTCACCAACTACTTCTCAGATAGTTCAATGTGTCAAATCGGAGGGCCTGTTGTCTGGACCTCTGGCAGTCTCTATGTTGGTGCCACAGGGTTCAATTCTCGGGCCGACTCTATTCTCTGTGTATATCAATGATGTCGCTCTTGCTGCTGGTGACTCTCAGATCCACCTCTACGCAGACGACACCATTTTGTATACATCTGGCCCTTCATTGGACACTGAGTTAACAAACCTCCAAACGAGCTTTGTCATTTACAAAATAGCCTCCAACACTCTACTGGATGTAGAGCAAATTGGATGTCGTCTATCACAGTGCCATCCGTTTTGTCACCAAAGCCCCATATACTACCCACCATTGTGACCTGTATGCTCTCGTTGGCTGGCCCTCACTACATATTCGTCGCCAAACACACTGGCTCCAGGTCATCTATAAATCACTGCTAGGCAAATCCCCGCCTTATCTTAGCTCATTGGTCACCATAGCAACACCCACCCGTAGTATGCGCTCCAGCAGGTATATCTCACTGGTCATCCCCAAAGCCAACACCTCCTTTGGCCGCCATTCCTTCCAGTTCCCTGCTGCCAATGACTGGAACGAACTGCAAAAATCTCTGAAGCTGGAGACACTTATCTCCCTCACTAACTTTAAGCATCAGTTGTCAGAGCAGCTTACCGATCACTGCACCTGTACACAGCCCATCTGTAATTAGCCCACCCAACTACCTCATCCCCATATTGTTATTTATTTTGCTCATTTGCACCCCAGTATCTCTATTTGCACATCATCTTCTGCACATCTATCATTCCAGTGTTAGTACTAAATTGTAATTATTTTGCACTATGGCCTATTTATTGCCTTACCTCCATAACTTACTGCATTTGCACACACTGTACATAGATTTTCTATTGTGTTATTGACTGTACGTTTTGTTTATCCCATGTGTAACTCTGTGTTGTTGTTTTTATCGCACTGCTTTGCTTTATCTTGGCCAGGTCGGAGTTGTAAATGAGAACTTGTTCTCAACTGGCTTACCTGGTTAAATAAAGGTTAAATAAAAATACATTACATTAAATAATGTCACCATTCTCAAAGGGATATTCAATGTCTGCTGCTTTTTTTTTTACCCATCTACAAATAGGTGCCCTTTGCAAGGCATTGGAAAACCTCCCTGGTCTTTGTGGTTGAATCTGTGTTTGAAATTCACTGCTCGACTGAGGGACCTTACAGACAATTGTATGTGTGGGGTACAGAGATGAGGTAGTCATTTACGTTTTATGTTAAACACTTATTGCACACAGTGAACCCATACAACTTATTATGTGACTTGTTAAGCACATTTTTACTCCTGAACTTATTTAGGCTTGCCATAATTTTTTTTTTTTTGTCATTTAGCAGACGCTCTTATCCAGAGCGACTTACAGTTAGTGAGTGCATACATTATTTTTTATACCCCCATGGGAATCGAACCCACAACCCTGGTGTTGCAAACTCCATGCTCTACCAACTGAGCTACATCCCTGCCGGCCATTCCCTCCCCTACCCTGGACGACGCTGGGCCAATTGTGCGCCGCCCCAATTGTGCGCCGCCCCATGGGTCTCCCGGTCGCGGCCTGCATCGACAGAGCCTGGATTCGAACCAGGATCTCTAGTGGCACAGCTAGCACTGCGATGCAGGGGTTGAATACTTATTGACTTATTGACTCAACACATTTCAGCTTTTCATTTTTAATTCTTTAGAAAATATTTTGAGAAACATAATTCCACTTTCACATTGAGGTATTGAATGTAGGCCAGTGACTCAAAAACGTAATCTAATACATTTTAAATTCAGGCTGTAACACAGCAAAATGTGGAAAAAGTCAAGGAGTGTGAATGCTTTCTGAAGGCACTGTATATCGTTCATGAAATATAGAACATATCAGCACAAAAGACTCACAATGAGTGCAGTTACATGTACACAATAATGTGATTATTGTGGATAGTCAGATTAATATAATAGTTCATTTAAAACGTTTGCATGCTTCGCAAGAAGAACGATTTCCCAAATAATCCTGTTTATGTGGACGCATCTGAAATCTATCTGATGGCACTCTGATAACTGCAGAAAATCGGCAATCAAAATAAACGTCCTATCACAGCGAACATGTTATTTTTGGGAAGCATATTTGATTCTGAGTTTGGACATACTGTATCAAGTTTGTATGTGAACTACTTCTAAGACGCATACGTTGTTGTTCCAAACACACTTCACTCGCACTAAAGAGGGAGGCTCACTTGGCTGGTGCTAGCACAGGTGCAGATCAAACACACAGCTGGAACACCGTTTTAAGGTGTTTACATGTCCTAATAATTCGAAAGATTGCTCAGAAAACCAGGTGTTTTATCGGCGTATGCTTACTTTGACTTTGAGTTCTGCCTACTGCCAGTAGTTCTGCCTATTGCCATAATCAGTTTAATATTTAATTATTATTGTGCTTGTAAACATACTCAATGTTGGGCCTCCCAAGTGGCGCAGCGGTCTAAGGTGTCACGACAGACCCGGGTTCGATCCTGGGCTGTATCACAACCGGCCGTGATCGGGTGTACTATAGGACGGCGCACAGCGTCCGGGTTAGGGGAGGTTTTGGCCGACTGGCTTCCTGGTTTGTCGGGTCATGTTTCGGAGGACGCATGACTCGACCTTCGCCTCCGGAGCCCGTTGGGGAGTTGCAGGATGAGACAAGATTGAAATTGGGGAGAAAAAAATACTCAATGTTATTGCGTGCAAGGTAGGTATTGTTTGTAATACCAGTCTAATATTTTGGGGAGAATTATAGGGAAAGTATTCAGACCTCTTGACTTTTTCCACATTTTGTACAAAAAATCCTCATCAATCTACACACACAAAATACCCCATGACGAAAAAGCGAAAATAGGTTTTTAGAAATGTTTGCAAATGAATTAAAAATTAAAAATATAAAATACGTATTGACATAAGTATTCAGACCCTTTGCTATGAGACTCAAAATTGAGCTCCGGTGCATCCTGTTTCCATTGATCATACTTGATGTTTCTACAACTTGATTGGAGTCCACCTGTGGTAAATTCTATTGATTGGACATGATTTGGAAAGGCATACACCTTTCTATATTAGGTCCCACAGTGCATGTCAGTGCATATGTCGAGGCACAGATCTGGGGAAGGGTACCAAAATCTTTCTGCAGCATTGAATGTCCCCAAGAACACAGTGGCCTCCATCATTCTTAAATGGAAGAAGTTTGGAACCACCAAGACTCTTCCTAGAGCTGGCCGCCCGGCCAAACTGAGCAGTCAGGGAGGTGACCAAGAGCCTAATGGTCACTCTGACAGTGCTCCGGAGTTCCTCTGTAGAGATGGGAGAACCTTCCAGAAGGACAACCATCTCTGCAGCACTCCATCAATCAGGCCTTTATGGTAGAGTGGCCAGACGGAAGCCACTCCTCAGTAAAAGGCACATGACAACCCGCTTGGAGTTTGCCAAAAGGCACCTAAAAGACTCTCAGGCCATGAGAAACAAGATTCTCTGGTCTGATGAAACCAAGATTGAACTCTTTGGCCTGAATGCCAAGCGTCACATCTGGAGGAAACCTGGCACCATCCCTATGGTGAAGCATGGTGGTGGCAGCATCATGCTGTGGGGATGTTTTTCAGTGGCAGGGACTGGGAGACCAGTCAGGATCGAGGGAAAGATTAACAGAACAAAGTACAGGGAGATCCTTGATGAAAACCTGCTCCAGAGCACTCAGGACCTCAGACTGGGACGAAGGTTCACCTTCCAACAGGACAACGACCCTAAGCACACAGCCAAGACAATGCAGGAGTGGCTTCGGGACCTCCCGAGTGGCGCAGTGGTCTAAGGCACTGCATCGCAGTGCTAGCTGTGCCACTAGAGATCCTGGTTCGAATCCAGGCTCTGCTGTAGCCGGCTGCAACCGGGAGACCAATGGGGCGGCGCACAATTGGCCCCAGCGTCGTCCAGGGTAGGGGAGGGAATGGCCGGCAGGGAGGTAGCTCAGTTGGTAGAGCATGGCGTTTGCAACGCCAGGGTTGTGGGTTCGTTTCCCACGGGGGGCCAGTATGAAAATAAAAAAGAATAATGTATGCACTAACTGTAAGTCGCTCTGGATAAGAGCGTCTGCTAAATGACGTGTAAATGTAAAAAAAAAATGTCATTGAGTGGCCCAGCCTGAGCCCGGAATTGAACCCGATCGAACATCTCTGGAGAGACCTGAAAATAGCTGTGCAGCGATGCTCCCCATCCAACCTGACGGCGCTTGAGAGGATCTGCAGAGAAGAATGGGAGAAACTCCCCAAATACAGGTGTGCCAAGCTTGTAGCATCATACTCAAGAATACTTGAGGCTGTAATCGCTGCCAAAGGTGCTTCAACAAAGTACTGAGTAAAGGGTCTGAATACTTACGTAAATGTAATTTCAGTTTTTTTAAATATTTAATACATTTGCAAACATTTCTAAACTATTTTTGCCTCGTCATTATGGGTTATTGTGTGTAGCTTGATGAGAAAAAAAAAACAGATTTTAATCGATTTTAGAATAAGGCTGTAACGTAACAAAATGTGGGAAAAGTCAAGTGGTCTGAATACTTCCCGAATGCATTGCACATGGCCCTCAGAATGTCTTTGTGGTCTTCTTTTTGTGTCCATAAGGAGGGAATACCATTCAATGTTTCATGTTATTTTTCTCCTCAGGAAAAGGGCAAGAGAGGAAGAGATTGAGACGGCAGAGAAAGCTAAGCGAGAGAGGGAATGGCAGAAAAACTTTGAGGTATGTTGAAAAAAGGGCATAAAATACATTTTAGTATTTTCTTCTTTGTTAATTATATTTTGAGCAGAAAACTTTGATCAACATCACCCAAAATAAGATGGGATGAGGAGAGATGGAGTACCTACTCTTGAATAACTTCTGGCTCTTCAGTTGTTTAACTGAGATTCAGGGATATGGCGTTTCCACGAGCAGCAGGGTGAACTGCAGATAGTCATAGTTGTTTCAGAAGTCGGCCCGATATTGCTGTTTACTTCGTGCATAGCTGACTCTACCTTATATTTTCACAAGGAAACAAGGGATGGCCGAGTGGACAGTTGGAGGAGTTTCCAGGCAGGCAAAAGCAAGGCAAAAAAAGAGAAGAAACCCCGGTCCTTCCTGAAGCCTCCTAAAGTCAAGATGGAGCAGAGAGAGTGATGTCTGTTGAGGTGTGATGGTTAAGGATACTACCCAAAGGCTACATCCCGATTCTCCACCCTTTTCCAGAAGTGTGTACTTGCACACTCCACGTCATGTTTAAAAGCATAGGAGTGGTGTGTAAGCATTGGCTGGAGGGAGTTTCCACCATTGTAAAAATTCCACCATTGCAAGTGCACACTTCGGAAGAAGGGTGGAGAATCGAGACAGCCCAACATTCTTACTTGTACTTGACAGTGCATCCACCTTCCTGAGAAATGTAGTTTTGTGCTCGTTTTTTTAATGTACATAATTGTGATCTGCAACCTCCATGAGCGCATCACACTTACTGGTCTCAATCAAAGTAGAAAAGATGACAGGAAATCTTCCATTTCTGTAACCACCTTAGTTTGACTGGACTTTTTGTGCTGTATCCTTTTTTTTTTTTTTTTACCTTTAAATAAAAGCTTGTTTGTTACAAGCCTATTTTGTGGTCTACCAAGTATTGACTCTGAAGCGAGGCAATCTAGTTGAGGGTAGAATAATGAAATCCTTAGCTAACGACTGCCTTGTATTTGTGTTCGTCAATAGGTACAAGATGCTATAACATGTTATTAAGGAATTATTCCCTTACTGTGAAACACAAGGAGAATATCCAGCCACTCTTGGAGGACAATGGAAGTGGTTTACTCCTCTATTCAGGCACCTTGGTTGTAGAGTGAGGTAGAGGGTATCCCCACATCTCAAGTATCCCTCTCTCTTGCTTTGCCATCCAGATTATCTGCTCATCCGAATGTGAAATCCACAGTGGGTTGGGATTCCACTACACAGACGCAGCTTCCCGATTGGCTTCCTATTCCATTTATAGTGCACTACTTTTGACCAGAGCCATATGGGTCCTGGGCAAAAGAAGTGCACTAAATAGGGAATGGGGTGTCATTTGGGACAGAGCCAGAAAGTCCACTCCTATTCCCATGATGATGCCTCCTCTGACTCTGTATTCTCCAATACATTAAAATAAGTTACCCCAATTTACCATTGGTCGTGACCCACTACCTATCATCTAACCACTAGTGTTCTTCCTTAATTAGCAGTAGCATTGTGCATCCATTCTGTTGTCATATAAAATGTTTAATTGCAGCAGTGTTTCACTCAATCTACAGTACCAAGGAAAGTTGCGGCCTAGTCTGTCAGAGCTGTTTTTCTGTCAGTTGAACTGTAATCGTTACACTATATCAATAAAATTGTCCAAGATATTCTTAAGAAATAGTCAGGTCATCTATGAGTGTGATCAAGGCAAAGGGATTCGTCAGTTTGTTCTTGTCTGTAAGTGAAGCATGATGAGGCCAAGTTTAGTCTTATGCAACATTTTGTCTTTAATAATCAGTCATTTGAAAATACATTAAATTGCTAATTTGGCAAAGACAAATACACATTCATTGTGACAGAGCAAAAAATGACTACCAGCACTAAATTTTCTCTACGGCTAGAGACAAAGAAAAGATGAAGCAATTGAAATGCTTCTTCACATTCCAGATTCTCTGGACACACACATGGTCGGAGTTTTGAGGCATGTCTATGCAGCTGCATGCCTATCGAATCGATGTTTGGCTTTGTGTGGTGCCAGGGCATGTATAGCTTTGCTTTAGCTAATGGATAAATGTTTATTGGTAGGCCTATTTGGTCATAATTTTCTAATGTTAAGCCTATCATTTCTCGAAGCTATACAAGGTGTAGCAATGCTGCCATTTTTAGACTGCTGGCGATAATGTAATTACTTGTTCAGTAATGAAAAGTTGGAAATTAAAACATTGCAGATTGTAAAATACGTTTTTGATGCAACAGCATACTAATCAGCTACCAATAATGTTTTAGAATATTCAATTGCATGCATGACATGAGCTGTCCTTGCGCTCTAGTGCTGAGCAACAACTGAAATAGTGTTAATACTTATGGTTAATAAGTGATAAGCAGTAATTGGCAGTCACTATCATCATGGGACTGTTAATAATTGTTTTATTCTGTGTTACAGCATTAATCCCACATAACACATAGTGCATTTAATGTATTTTTTAAAATATCGAAACCGAAATTGAAAACGTGATTTTAATATTCAAACAGACTTCCAAAAGCACTAATCGCTCAGCACTATTGAGCTCTCTCCCAGCTTGGATAGAAAGTTGTTGTGCATAAAACCAGTCTATTAATGCCAAATAATGCAGTCAGTCCATCCTCAAAACATTAGCTTACTAGGGATAGTTTCATTATGCAGTGTACTATCTATAGCTATACTGAACAAAAATATAAATGCAACAATTTAAAAGATTTTACTGAGTTTCAGTACATATAAGGAAATCAGTCAATTGAAACAAATAAATTAGGCCCTAATCTATGGATTTCACATGACTGGGCAGGGGTGCAGCCATGGGAGGGCATAGACCCTCCCACTTGGAAGCCAGGCCCACCCACTTGGGAGCCAGGCCCAGCCAATCAGAATGAGTTTTTCCCCACAAAAGGGCTTTATTACAGACAGAAATACTCCTCAGCACCCCCTCTCCCCCCTCCTCAGATGATCCCTCAGGTGAAGGTCCTGGGCTGGCGTGGTTCCACGTGGTCTGCGGTTGTGAGGCCGGTTGGACGTACTGCCAAATTCTCTAAAATGACGTTGGCGCCAACTTATGGTAGAGAAATTAACATTCAATTCTCTGGCAACAGCTCTGGTGGACATTCCTGCAGTCAGCATGCCAATTGCACGCTCCCACAAAACTTGAGACATCTGTGGCATTGTGTTTAGAGTGGCCTTTTATTGTCCCTAGCACAAGGTGCACCTGTGTAATGACCTTGCTGTTTAATCAGCTTCTTGATATGCCACACCTGTCAGGTGGATGGATTATCTTGGCAAAGGAGAAATCCTCACTAACAATAAACAAATTTGTGGAACAATTTGAGAGAAATAAACATTTTGTGCAATGGAACATTTCTAGGATTGTTTTATTTCAGCTCATAAAACCTTGGCATGACCCTGGACAACACCCTGTTGTTCTCTGCTAACATCAAAGCAGTGACCCACTCCTGCAGGTTCATGCTCTACAACATCCGAAGAGTACGACCCTACCTCACACAGGAAGCAGCGCAGGTCCTAATCCAGGCACTTGTTGTCTCCCGTCTGGACTACTGCAACTCGCTGTTGGCTGGGCTCCCCGCTTGTGCCATCAAACCCCTGCAACTTATCCAGAACGCAGCAGCTCGTCTGATTTTCAACCTTCCCAAGTTCTCTCATGTCACCCGCTCCTCCGCACACTCCACTGGCTTCCAGCTTCAAACCCTACACCCGAGCACTCCTCAGGTCTCTTGGCCCTCCTGCTCAGCCCAGTCCAAGCTATTCTCTGGCAACCCAATGTTAGAACCAGTTTCCCCCTGAAGCTAGGACAGCAGAGTCCCTGCCCATCTTCCGAAAACAGCTGAAACCTTCCGAAATCACCTCGAACTGTCGGTGGCTCATCATCATCAGTAGCCTACTACCGGCTAGCACTAGCAGCAGCACAGCGGTCGCTAATGTCGAACCAGAGCAAGAGCTCAGAGAGGAAGATGCAAATTCGGATTCAGAGCCTGATTCACCCCAGCCCTTGCTCTTCCAGAGTCTCAAAGAGATCAGCATGTGGACCTACTGCGTGTGTGTGTGTTTAAATGATGATGCTGCATTGTGGCCTGAGGCGCTGTCTGACAGAGGTGTGATCTTGTCAAAAAGGACCCAGAACAGATCAAAGATAATTTATTCCCTCAAATTGGGGACCCAGTCCCTCGAACATTTAGTAGTGACAACTATGAAAAAGTGACAGAAAAATTACACAGACATGGCTTGTGTATTAAAGTAAAGCTGATGCAGCTTTTTGTTTTTGTTGTCGCAATTTTGTAGGGAAAAAAATTGACTAATTTGAGCAGTGATGGTTTTCATTACTGTAAGAAATCGGGACCAATTTAAAAGCACATGAGCGTTGTAGGCCTACTGAGCATTTGCAAAATATGAAGAGCTGGCGCCACCTTGCGGTAATATTCAAAACAGGCACAACCATTGACGTAAATCAACCAGACCGGTGGCGAGGTGGATCGCATTCTGACAAAGCCCCTGCGAAGAAGTGCTGGCCTGGTTGCTCTGGGTGTTGCCTATTTCAAAAGGTACTAGGGCTGGGGTTCAAGTTCTCATTTCATCTTCTGTAGTTGTTTTCACGTTTAATCTATTGGCTCTTACGTGTGTGTGTGGATAGATGGATAACTCGGTTAGTCAAAGTAGAGGGATGGATGACTTCTAGCTAGCTCACTAGCATTTCCATGATGACCCAGGACCATTACCCAGTGAAATTGGGAATCAACTCAGACCTGTGCTGCACAGTAAGTCCACAGTTAATTTGTTCTCACAGCCTGGTATAAAAAGTTTAAAATACTTCTTATTGTTCATTAACATTTTTTCCAATTGATCTGATCCTTCCACTTCTCCATTTTCTCCCTGCCTCTTTGCAGGATGATGTCAGGATGTTTGTGTTCCTCCCTGATGAGGTCACTGCCAACATGACCCTGGTGGAGGAGAGCCTAATGGCCGAGTTTGCCCAGGACCTATCAATGACCCTTCAGATTGTGCAGGTGGCCGTCACACTGCCTTCCTGGAGTTCAGCTACTCCACTGACCTGCTGCCTCTGCTCACTGACTAGGGTGAGTACTCATTCATACCACCTCAAAACTTTAGGAGTAAAGTAAAAACTTTTTTTGGGTTAAATGTGTACGGATGTGTAAGTTCTTCAAATCAAATTTTATTTGTTACATACACGTGTTTGGCAGATGTTATAGCGGGTGTAGCGAAATGCTTGTGCTTCTAGCTCCGACAGTGCAGTAATATCTAACAAGTAATATCTAACAATTTCACAACATATACCCAATACACACAAAACTAGTAAGGAATGGGATTTAAGAATATATACATATGGACAAGCAATGACAGAGCGGCATTGACTAAGATGCAGTAGAATATTATGGAATAGAATGCAGTATATACATATGAGATGAGTAGTGCAAGATATGTGAACATTATTAAAGTGACTAGTGTTCCATTTCTTAAAGTGGCCAGTGATTTCAATAGGCAGCAGCAGCCTCTAATGTGCTAGTGATGGCTATTTAACAGTCTGATGGCCTTGAGATAGAAGCTGTTTTTCATTCTCTCTGTCCCAGCTTTGATGCACCTGTACTGACCTCGCCTTCTGGATGTTAGCGGGGTGAACAGGCAGTGGCTCGGGTGGTTGATGTCCTTGATGATCTTTTTGGCCTTCCTGTGACATCGGGTGCTGTATGTGTCTTGGAGGGCGGATAGTTTGCCCCCGGTAATGCGTTCGGTAGACCGCACCACCCTCTGGAGAGCCCTGCGGTTGTGGGCAGTGCAGTTGCCGTACCAGGCGGTGATACAGCCCAACAGGATGCTCTCA